GAGTAGCTGTATAACAAGCTGATCTGTATGTGGGAGAATAAACCTCAAAACAAGGTCAGAGTTGCCCGTTGAAGGGGCGAGTGTTCGCTCTGAAGGTGCTTTTGACTCCTACCGACAGCTTCAGCCCTCAGGTTTGTCGTAAACTTCCCTGCCAGTTTTCTACTTGGAGCTGTTTATAAAACAGCATACAGCGATAGTTAGAATTATACTTACAGTGGGGATTTGAAATTTCAGTGGTGTGTGATGTCTCAGGAGAAAAACACCTGGTCTTTTTTCATGATTCTTTACTTCATCTCTTCTGGAGATGGGCGGGCGATGAGTTTTGTTGCTCCGTTGTTCACGGGCATGAATTTAACTTCTGCGGTTGCTGCCTTTTTGTTCTGTCCTTTGTGTAGCAGTAAACTGTTGGGTGGTTTGGTTTGTTTTTGAGAGTTTACCATTTCAAATCAGTTGTAAAACTCCGGTAAGTTCTACTAGAATAGAATAGCACCGTTGTTGGCGTTTGAGTGACACGTAGCAGCTCTGGAATAAGTGCAAACAGCTCGTAGTGATGTGGGGAGTAAGGTGTGCTTTGTGTGTACTCTGAGGAGCTTTGCACAGGCAGTTGCTCCGCTGTGTCCTCAAGGAGGAAATACTTGAGATTTGGCTCTTCACTTGTAGAAGTTCATCAGGTAGTGCAGAGACCATTAAAAATATGCTGTTTAATCTGGCAAGAGCCAACATTTTTTACTAGACTTTCCATAACTTCTTCATTGAAGCAGTTCTGTGCATTCAGAAGGGTTTTTAAACCTTGTCTGCACGTACACACACAGGTCAGAATAACCTTTACAGCCTGTGTATCTTTTAGAGTAAATCTTGGTGGCCTTATTTCATCATTCACTTCTTTTTTTTCCCTCTGCTCGACAGGTTTGCTGTAAGCGTTGGCTACTGGAAGGACCCTTACATCCAGTATTTTGTGAGACAAGCCAAAGAGAGAAAAGCACCTGAAATCAATAGAGGCAAGTTGGCCTGTGGACTGGGGTGGAGTGCGAATGTGTTGTTAGCTGTCCTTGAAGAGCACCTGCGAGAACCTCTGGGTACTGTGGGAAATACGTAAAAGAATGAGCCAGGTTTATTCCTCAATAATAATTCTGTTTAAGGAATCCTGTTTTATCAGTGCATGAGATTTTGTGATTAATTAAAGAACAAACAAACCAACCCCAAATAAACAAAGATCCCTTACATATCTTAAATAGAGTGCATTGTTCTTCCTAAGAAACACCATTTTTTTTTAAACAGACTGCCTAAAAATCTTAATGACAGTTAAACATCAAGTATTATGTGAAAATAATCATTAAACCCAAACTTTTAAAAAAATCTGTTAACAGGCTATTATGCTCGTGTTCATGGAGTCAGTTATCTGATTAAAGCTTTCCTGAAGAAGACAGAATGCAACTGTCAAATTGTTAATCTTGGTGCTGGCATGGATACCCTGTTCTGGAGATTAAAGGTAACGAGAGCCGAGAGTAACGAACGCGGATGCCGCTGAGGATTTGTGTGGACGTTTGAAGCGCTCTTCAGCGAGGGCTTGTCGGTGCTGCGCTCCCTAGTACAGCGTGGAGGTGTGCAGTGAGGCTGGGTGCTGCAGCAGCCTGCCCCGGCTGTGCTGCTTCAGCCCCCCACTTGTTCTGAGTCAGTGTAGGAGCCTGTAAACCTCAGCGCACAGGAGGGGCTGTGGGTTTCACTGCGTTTTATCCAAAAGCCTGTGGCACGAAGCTGACCACTTGTGGACTTTCAGGAACAGAGCTCGAACCCCACATTTTGCTCTCCTCTTTAAGCCTTAAGTTTTCACTCTTTTTATCCTTTATTAAACCAGGAATAAGGTACCAGAGTAGAGGATTTCACAGGCTCTGTTTACATCTTTCTGAATTATTTATATATGTAAATGTGTATGTCTGTATGCACATGTGTGATTCACAGAAATTCAGATATGATGTGTGATAGTATCATTCTGATTGAACACGCCTCTAAGTCAGCTTGTCTTCTCATTAGCATTTACACTGGTGAATTTGGGTTCTGGAAGAAAGCCCAAGGAGGCCAGGCACTTTTTGCTTGATTACAATTCAGTATATTTCTGTCTGCAGAAGGGAAAAACCAGTGATTTTACTCTGAGATGCGAAGCTTTTTTCTCACCTGCATTCCTGTGAAAACTATGTCAAAGCACATTTTTATTAACTCTCCTGTAACAGTGATTTTAAAAGCTGAAGTGAGGCCTGTAATCCCAATTCTTTCTCGTGTAAAGAGCAAGTGTGATATAATTGATATATGGGAGATGGGTTACAGTTAACCAAGCGCTTCGGTCTTCTCACTACTGATTCAGTCTGCTCCTCAGAAATCCATGAGGTTGACAAGCTAGGACTACGGGTACGTATCCATCACAAAAGGATTGCTGCATAGGGAGAAGCTTGGTACGGCTTATCTGTCAGGGCGTCATGGTGACAACGGGAAATTAAGAGGTGTTCTCCTTTTTTGTAGTAGAGGGAGTACTGATGCGCCTGTGTTCTGGCTGTCGGTCGGAGGACAGGCTGGGCCGTGTGGTTGCTTTCTGTGTAAACCTGTGCACAATGTTGCTGATTCCTTTCTTAGAAGGATATACTGAGAATGTATGGTAAATGTCATTCCAGTCTCCTGTTGCCGTGCTCTTCTAGATCTGGCACTGCCTTGTTGGAGTATGCGCATTGGTGACGTAGTGTCCAGGGTTGCTGCGTTACGTCAGGTGTTGAATCCTTAATGCTTAGAGGACATTCTAACGTCTCAGCGGTTCTTGTTCTCTGCTGTGATTTTTTAAGCTGAGGGACATGAAGTTCCACTACTGTACAAATGCCAGTGTAAACTAAACCGAAACTGTTTAGGACTTAAGGTTATATCTTGTTGTGTGCAACTTGGATGTCCCTAATTCTAGACTCTTACTCCAATTCTCAGGATGAAAATCTTCTCCCTAGAAAATATTTTGAAGTGGATTTTCCAATGATAGTTGCAAGAAAAATACACCACATCAAGTGAGTATAATGCTTACATTTAGCTGCATGAAACAGAACGTGATTCCAAAACGTCCTGCATTGCGAGCGGCGTTATTTCACCTCAGACTCTGAGCAACTCTTCACGCTCTAGGATTCGGAATCCAGGTTTCATTGTGCAAGTCAGACATTGTGCAGCCCCTGTTCCAACCTGGAGAGCTTGGTATGTGGGCGCTTTAGGGAGGCAAGCAGGCTTTGTTCTTACTTCTGTAAAATATAATGGGCAGGGGAGGCCTCACCATGATTGGAGGCGATTAAGGCCTCTCCTACTACTACAGACAGTGATAAATTCCCAGCCTGGCATGTCCAGTCAGAGGGCAGAGTGGCTGGTACTGTACGTGAATTTTCTGCTTGAGTGTATACGTGAAGGCCCATGGAGGATACTTGAAGACAGTGTCTGGATTTCTCTTGAAAGATTAGCTCCAAACTTGAGTCATTTGGTATCAAACTCAACTGCAACTCCGTACTAAGTCTAACTTGCAAACATTTTCGTTTCCAGTAGAGGGCAGAGGGATTCTCTTCTGTTTCTAACACACGCACATATAGATACAGATATGTATGTTAAGGGGAAAAAAAAGTAAGCACACTTAAACAAGCTTAACTGCTCAGAGATGCTTCTTCCTTCTTCCCACAGATCAAAACCTCCCCTGTCAAAACCAATTATGGAATCCCATTCAGGGGACTCTCTTCTAATAGGTGAGTCATCTTAAAAATAAGTCAGCGATGTACTGCAGCACTTTTGAAACTTTTCTGATCGTTTTGTTCTGCTATGTGGGCAGGCTTTTAGCGTTTGAAACGCTGTTTGGACAGAGAACTGGGAGGGAATAGAGGGGTTTTTTTTCTTCCCTTACAGCCTCCTGCCCATTTGTTCTGTGTCATGCTAGGAACGTTTTCTCTTGAAGTGGTTTTATTCTGCCAGAAAGTTGTTGGGGTTTTTTCTTTTTCTTTCATATGGAGCTTAAGTTATGTTCTCTGTTACAACATGAAAAATGCTGCCGACAGTCGCGTAATCTGGATGAAAACAGCTATGAGTGTTTTCCTCTTCTTTCTGTCCCATTAAGAGCACCAGTCTTCACGCTTAGTGGAGTGTTCACAGGGACCCACGGCCAGCAAAGTCCGTTCTCAGGAGCCAGTGGCATGTGTTAACATCTTAGTATGAAGGGGGTGTGAGGTTCAGGGGGTGGCATGTTGTTGTACTGTCTTGGCTCATAGCTTCATCATGTTGTGTCGGGATTGTAATTGGAAAACCTCTCGTGGAAAAACCCCTGGTTCTGTTAACTAATGCTTTCAGTGCTCAAATAGCAGATATTGCAAAACAGTAGCTGTTTTGGACCCTTTAGGAGGAACAGGAATTATCTGCACCTACAATACCGACTGGATGTGTTAGCAGATGTGACCCTAAAGCAGAGCTAGCAGCGTTTGCGTTCCCTGATGTGATTACATCTATAGGCCCTTTCAATAAGCACAGTTCTAGCTGAGGATCTGGAGGGCTTGAAAGGGTCCTCCAAAGAGTGAGGAAGAGTATAAGGAGGGAGGAGGTGTGCTCTGCTGCCAGCGACAAGGTGTAGGCGCATCGCCCCGAGGGTGTTCAGTGCCTCAACCTAGGTCAGTACTGCCACACGCTGACCCGGTTGTGCATCTTTATGCACATTTATTGCTGCATTTTAGAGGGTCTTGACAACTAAAAGGTCGGTAAGTTATTTGAAGGGCAGAATTCTCCGTTGTACGTTTAGGTCTCAAAAGATGGAAGCCCAGTGCTCCGTCTCAGCAAAAGGGCTCCCAAGTACCACTGTGTTTGAGCCAGGAGACCTTCTTACAACATCTCTCACACGCAGTGGGAGTGCTGCGTAGGCACTGTTAGAAAGGCGTTAATACCAGGTCGATCAAAGGGTTTGATAGTATTTGTGTTACTGAGCAGCTGTAGATACGTCTTGTATGGCAAAACAACTGCAAAGTTATCAAGTTGCAGTGGTGTATTGTAATCAAAAGCTGCTAATTAGCAAGTCGCAGCAGTCAGCAGCAATTAATATATCACTGTTTGAACGTATTGGATTATTTCTCTACAGTTGTTTCTCTTGTTCTTTCTCAGTGCTGGGTTTGAGTAGCCAGTTTACTGTAACCCGGCTGATGTCGGCTCTGCCACACTGAGATCTTTGGGATGTACCATAATGCCCAGATATTTGGAGACGGTGGAAGTCTCTTGTGGAATCCCAGTTTGAGCTGGGGCTTGATAAACGCTGGTCAGTTTGTGTGAAATCTGTGTGGGAACTCTCATTTAAGGACGTATTAATGGAACTGCTTCGTGTGGAAGTGCCACCAGAAGAGGCTGTGGACTGAGCAGACAAATCCAACTGTCAGATGAATGGAGATTTCTTACAGTTCTAAAGGAACTTGACGATGAATTCGCTTGGCTACTAACTGGTTATACCCTCTCATTTTAAATCTTAGTACCTGAGAACTGGAAGGTGGCAGCTGTGGGCTCAAATGGGCTCCAGGGAACTACAGGGCAGCAGGGCCTCTGACAGAGACGTAGTGGAACACAGGAGTAATAGAATGTGGTGAGGAAGAGTCAGCGTGGTAAGGTGAGCCTGACAAACAACCTGTTGGAGCTCTCTGGAGGTTTCAACAGGTTGGTTGGAAAAAGACATAGAATTAATACAGTGCTTGAGTTTAAAAAGTGTGTTTTGACAGTGTTCCTTGCCAAAGAAGCTGCACGGCGGTTGTCGGGGGAAGGAATGGTTCTCATATGGATGAAGAGCTGGGGATGGAGGGTAGGCATATGTTCTTAATTCTCGTTGTGGAGGGAGATGGAGATCTGTGCTTAAGGATATGTTGTTGTTCAACACTAAGAAATGATTGGGAAAATAGACTGACTAGTAAGTGGCAGCTTGTTGGCAAGTCCAGCCTCTCTGGAGTGGTAAAGAACTGTGGAAGAATCTTGTGAAATTAGTGACTTGGTGATAAATTCGATACGGATTAACATAAAGTGATGCACAGGGGTGGAAAAAGTAGCTTGTGCCTCACATGTAAATGATTAGGCTGGCTGATTGTTGCTGCCTGCCTGTAGGATCTGGGTGTTAGAATAAATAGATGCATGAAAACATTGCCTCGGTAATGATGCGGAAATCCAAATCACATTTAAGGTTTCCTAGAAAAAAGATAGAAACCAACATAAATGCCAGTATTAGTCATATGTATTTGCCCTCTCTTTGCCCTAGGTAGCTGCCCTTGGCATCTGTGGGAGGCAGGATGCCATCCTGGGGGACCTTTGGCCTGACCTGATGTAGCTGTTAGACTCACGCTCTGGGAACACGCCTGTCGCAGGGGTTGTAGTGGGGCACAATGAGGCAGCATTTGAGGCAGTGAAATATTACTCATTTTTGTGGTTTTCAGGGTAGAGGACCAGGAGTTCAGGATCTTGGGGAAGGATGTTGTCCTGTCTTCCCTTCCCTCAAATCAGTTCCAGCCTGCTGGCTCATGTGTATCAGGAATGATTTGTTTAGATGCTTTGGAATTTCAGGAGTTTAGGATCTTGGGGAAGGATGTTGATGTCCTGTCTCCCCTTCCCCCAAATCAGTTCCAGCCTGCTGGTTCATGTATATCAGGAACGATTTGTTTAGATGCTTTGGAATTTGATTTTTGGGTGGTTGTGGAATCATTAGACTTGACTCTTGTCCTTACTGCTTTTCTCCTCCCACTAAATGTTTTCATTTCACGGAGCTAGTGCTACCAGACAACTGTCTTCGTTCTAGGGCAACATCTGCTTTCCTCTTGCCCTTCAGCAAAACAATGACAGCATGGCTTGCAGTTGAAGGGCAGATGCTTGTGGCCTCTGCCCTTGAATGCAGCAAGATGACACTTGTCATCAAACAGCTTTGCGTTTCCTAGGGAGTGGTACATCTCCAGGGAAGGCAGGGTATTTGGGCAGTGATTTGCCTTTGCGTGACAGTATCAGGGTAAATGGTTTTCAAAGTTCAGCGGTGCTGTGTGATTTATGATGCACAAATTGAACTCCAGTGAGCTGTTCCTTTTCGGTGCTACTCGCACACTTGCTGTCCCTGTCTAGTCCCCCTTTGGAGGGTGGTTATTTTAACTTCCTTTTCCCCTACATTTCTAGACGTAGTCGTGACCCGGCACAGACCTCAGGGGTGTCGCTGCCTTGGTGCCTTGCATGCCTTGTGCTGGGGATGGTCCTCTGCTTGCAAGACAAAATTTCTTTGTTTTGACCTGTGCCCTGTTCTGATGTTGTTAATAAACAACCTGAGTGAGAGCAATACTGTCTCATGGCTGTGAGCCTGCAGAGTAGGTTGTACGGGCTGGTTGTTCCTACAGCTGCCGGAGAGACCTTAGGATGAAAATCCTAATGAAATCGGTTTGAGTCAGTAGTGTCCAGCATGCTCTCTCTTGGAAAAACTCCAGGAAATTGTTTCACTAATCTGAGAAGAGAGTAAGGAAAGAAAACTCTTGAATTCCTATAGAATGGTTTGGGTGGGAAGGGAGCTTAAAGCCCCCCCAGTCCCACCCCCTGCCATGGGCAGGGACACCTTCCACTAGACCAGGTTTCTCCAAGCCTCATCCAGCCTGGCCTCATGACCAAACCACTTTGCTAAAACCAACATGACATACTGGCCTCTGGATGGGAATTAGTGCTTGGAATATGGGATTTTCAATGGATTAAGCCACCAAATGTTGCGGGGTATGCCAGCATTAGGACAGCTGGCCCAAGTCATGACAAGGTGGCCCTGTGTAGTTGGAAACTGCCACTGACTTGTGTGTTAGTGCAGGGTGGGTGTTCTCCAGCCTGGCCCCGGGGAAGGCGGTAGTGCTCCTGGGAGTGGCAGAGACGTGTGGAGCATGCAGGGCTCTCGTCTGCGGGGAGGTCGCTGTGGCAGGCACCTTTGGAAGAGGGAGATTACAGTAAGGAAACAAAAGTAGTTTGTTTTAACACTGAAGAATTGGTTCGGTTAAGAAACTTCTTGTTCCTAAGAAGAAATGAATGGAGACCAGGTGGCTGTGCTACCAAGCTGAAACTTGCTTTTCCTTCATCACCTGCTCTGCAGACAGGCAGGTATTGTAAAACACATTTGCACCAACGCTGCTCAGTCAGGGTGGCAGCCTGTTTGCAAATTTTCATACTTAGAGCATCAAACTCTGCAATAAAGCAGGGGTTGGTGCCAGACCGTGACCTAGCAGCACATTATTTTCTGGGTATTTATGGCCATGCTTTGACTTTCAGCCTCCAGGCTGGGAACAGTGGCAATTCCAGCTACTGTCAGCCATTCAGTGAGTGTCTGCTGGCTGAGCGTGAGGTGCTGGAGCAGTTGTCAGCCTGATTTTAAAATTTTGAAGCTGTTTGCCTAGTTAAGTATGATCTCTTTGTCCCTTTGACTGGTATATAAAAGGATTTTTTAATGCCATGTATGGGCCAAAGGTGGAAGCAAGCAGAAAATCTTAGAAGGAAGTTTGGAAGAGGCTCAGCTTGAACTCTTGCTCTTGCCTTTTTTTCCTTTTGCCTCTCTTTTTGCATTTTAAAATTGACTAGTATAAATTTTGTAGATGTTGAAATATATGAATTATGGAGATGCCTAATGAGGTACTCTCGGATATGTTTAAAATGTCCGATTTTTAGCAATTGTCAGCTTGGTGCGGTGCAAGCGCGCCTCTGCCTTGGTGCTGTCTGTGGTTGTGTTTGCCAGCAGCCGTCAGCACAGAGTCTTGGGAAGTTGGCAGGAAAATGTGTGGAGGAACAAGCACATTCTGTTGGAATGGACTAAAGGAGGAGAACCAAGCAGCCTGGATACTGGAACTGGGAGTCAAGTGATTGCATTTGGAATAAAAGGCTTCTGAAGAGAGGAAGACAATCCGTTCCTCGGCAGCTTTCTTGGCCTTTTAAAAGTTTCTGCTGCAAGGAGTCCTGTGTTAAGGCATTAAGTACTGGCTTTAAGTCTTAAAAACACTTCCACTGAGCCAAATCACACTTGAAAAAACCTGTTCTCGTTTGGTGTTTGGGTTTTTTCCAGTAGATAACTTGGAATAACCAGGCTGTGGCTACATGGCTCTTTATTTTCACTTGTGCACAACCCAAATCTCCCAACCGGCCGTGCTGGGCTGCACTGAGGGTCGCCCAGGTTGCTTCCTTTGGCCATCCCCTCTCCCACCACATCGAAGCATAATAGAAACGATGGGGTTTGTTCATACAGGTACAAGCTTATTAAAACCAACGTTTGTAATTGTGCTGAAGTTTGGACCCTTGTGAAGAGCAGTTTTCTAACGTAAGGGTTGAGAGGTTTTGCTCTTCCCTGCTCTTCAGTGGTAGAAACCTTGAATCAACATGGTGTTGAGCATTTATTCTCACCTCTGGTGAGGTGTTTGTACTGCTTCCAGTACCAGATCGCTTAAAATTGGGTTTAGTTTGTTTCTGGTTGTTATTAATGTAGGGGTATGTCCAAGTCCCTGCAACTGGACAAGAAGATTGCATTAAGTTCACGCTGGTTGTGCTGACGGACGCCGACTGTGCTGTGTCTCTGGACAGCAGAGCAATCCCTGCATAAATACTTTCCTGTGTGTGGTGGGGGTTTTGTGTGGCTTTTTTTGATGCCATTATCATGGCCTTGATATAATATCTTAAATAGAAGGGTGTGGGAAGCAGTGAAGCTATTACAGAACATGCACATGGAAAAAAGCCTTGACTCAAAACGTTGAATCACTTGCCACACAACTTCTTCTTAATCTTTCTCTTTTCCCCTGTAACTCTGCATGAACTGTTCTGGTTTCTGTAGCTGTTCAGAAGTGGTGCTGGGAAGATGGCTCTTGGCATGTGCTAGTGCCACTTCTGAACAGTTGGTCACTTGGGAACTGAAGGGAGGTACCTCTTCAGAATGTTTGAAGCACTGCTCAATTTAATAAATTGCCTTTTTTTTTTTTCTTTCCCCTCTCCTGAAATGGAAAGCCCTTTCAACCTTGTTGAAACCTGCCTCTTCAGCCACTTGGCTCCTCTCTCTCTTTCCCCTGGCTCTTGACATCTGCTCCCGTGTTCCCATTTGCAGGACCCCAGAGGGAGCTGTGCCGCAGCCAGCCACTGCAGGGGGATATTGACTGGCCTTACAAGACCCCTTTAAACTCTCACTCTGGGGTTTTCCCTGGTTAGCTTACTTAACTGCTTGCTCTGTCACACTCCTCTGCTAAGAGGGGAAAATAATGTGCTGTCGTGTCCTCATGACTTTGTTCCAGCCAAGCTAAGGAGCAGTCCGATACGTTCCCGCAGCACGTCACATCTTGAAGTGGGGTTGACACGGCCTTTGTAAAGCTTTTGTGGGGGGCTGGGCTCATCCAGTCGAATTGATTGCAACTGGTTGTCGGAATCGCTGACAGCGAGCTGCTTGTGTTGCTGCTGGTTCCTCACGCTTCTGCTGGTGTGGCAGGGTGGCTTTTGACTTCACTGCTAGCTCCTCCTTGGTGTTGGAACTCATTTACAGGAGCTTCCTGCCTGTTCTTTCCCAGGGTGAATACTGGTGTCTCAGAATATCTTTTCTAATTCCACTCCACGCTTAAATACCATTGCTAGGTCATATGTAAAGGCTAAACAAGAACTCCTTTTGCCACCCCCACCCCCCCTTATCTGATACCCATATATATTATGTAACTATGGGTATCTGTTGTTAGTACTTGGAACATTGTTACACAACTTAGTTTTTCAGAAATTGGTGTACCTTTTTCATCCGTATTGCCTGCCTTATACACGTACTTTGGGTCATTTAAAAAGACTACAAAAGTCCTGCCTTTAATCTTCACATTTTTCTTCTCTCTGCAATCCTGGAAGCCATGGTAACGGATGGGATCACCTATCTGCATTAGAGTGGCTGCAGAGTGAAAGACTAGGCTTGGCAGAGTCTGATGCTAATGTGTGGGTCTGTAAACCACAGCAGTCAGGTATGGGGACATGGGTGTTTTAAGAGGAGTTTGCTGTTCGTTGCTGGCTGTAGCAGATCGAACTTTGACTTCAGTTATATGTTCCTGTGTATTTTTTTTTTTTAATTTATAATTTCAGCATCCCTCTTGTTTGTAACCCTTAGTCTCTCAAAATTTTAACTCGCAGATTCTCACAGCCTAGACTCCAGTCGGTATTCCATAGTAGGAGCAGATCTCCGGCTCTCATCGGATTTGGAGGAAAAGCTAAAGAAATATAACCTGGATATATAGTAAGATATTTTTCTTTTAATATTTTTTGGATGAGGTCTTGTGGAAACGTTCTGGTGCGAGCGAAGTCAGGTTGGGCATGCAGTATCTGCATCCTCATTATGCTATTTCCATGGTTACCTTTTCCTGAGCCCTTGGAGCAGAAGGAATTGTTCAGACACCACGCAGCCTCGCTGAGCCGAGCAGACTGGCACTGCCGTGACTGCTTGGTAGTTCCAGCTCTGCAGCAAGGCTGTTCCCTGCATAGCCTGTTCTGCAAACTGCGTTCTCGCCCTTCCTGGGAAGATCAAGCCTTACAGAGCTACCTGCTGCTTCTTCCTAAAGCGCTGCAGGGAGCCAAGTCTGGCTTTCTGTGAACGTGATTCTGGGGGGTGTGATCCTTTTGCACGAGTTAAAGTGCTCGGGGCAGGGCAGGCAGCTGTAATTCCCTCTCGCTTTCCCCCATCCCTTGCCCTGGAAGGGGTGAATTCCAGCAGCAGCTGTTTCTGCCTCAGAGCTCATCAGAGTTTTCTTTCTCTGCATCATGCATTTAACTCTCTTAGAGATTTCTGAAGGAGTTACTCCTTGCTTGAATTTGGTTGAAGTTTAGTTAATAGAATCACAAGTCGTTCAAGGGAAATCTCTAAACTAGAGATGTATCAAAATGTCATAAATTGCCCTTTTGAAGAGTTGGCTCAGTTGCATTTCGTTCTGACGCTGACTGACGGGCAGAACATGGTCAGTGAACATCTTCCACCCCTGTTGTAATGGCTGCGTGAGTCAGGATTTCTGGGAGCTACTCTCCAGAAATTCTGTCAGGGATAAATCATTGCAGAGTTTTACCTCTGTGATTGTTCTCTGTTGCCTCCACTTAAACCCACTATTGTTCCCCAGCCCTTTTGCTAAAGCGATTGCCACAGAGTCCTTTAGAACTTAACTCCGGAAGCCAGTATCTGGGATTTTATTGTTGGAGCGTTAGGCTTCTGGAGGGGGCAGGATGTACGTTTTTCGAGTGTATGATGGACAAATCTTTCCAATAGAAGATCTATAAATAGCGGCGATCTGGCTGGGTGGGAGAGAGCATATGGGTAAGCAGAATGCATCCAATTGCCATTTACATCTTCTGAAATCTTGCCGTGCTTGCCTACATTGCTGCTCCTTGTGGAATTTCTCCTGCTTCTAGTGACTTTTCTTTTTCCTAGCAATTTAATCTGGCAATTAAAAGAAAACTCCACAATCCTACGGGAAATTACACATGTAGTTACCTGTTTGGGGGGGGGAGGGGTGTGTGGATGGAGGGGGAAGAGGCAACGTGCAAACTATAGATTGCATTTTGTTAGTTAATGCGTGAAGCTGGTTTTACAGATATTGACCAAATTTGTCTAATTAAAAGTCATCTCAGACCTTTTTTAAGAGAAATAATTTATTTTTTCAATCTGTGTTTTATTCCTAATTTTACTGATCTCTAAAAGAGCATGAATTGTGTATATCAGGCACGATTCTTCTGCAGAATGAATTTTAGTGTGCACTTTGGCTGTCACAGTTCCAAGAAGACTTGCAGGCTTTCTGTGTTCATAGTATGGCTGACTTGGGGCAGAGTGTTCCCCAATATTTCTGTTTTGGGACTGTGGGACCCCTGTGAACTGCTGGAAAACCCAGTTCCAGTCACCTTGATGCAGTGATTTCATTCAGTCTTAAATGTCTAGTTCATCAAAAGGGGAGCTCATTTAAGAATTTTTGGGGACATGAAATTACTTGCTTGCTAATAGTTCTTTATAGCCTTTTCTTGTTCTTTTGCTAGAAACAGTTCTCTTGTTTTTTGCTTTAAAGCTTGCCAACCCTTCTGGTAGCGGAGTGCGTACTGGTTTACATGACACCACAGCAGTCTGCAAATCTCTTAAAGTGGGCAGCCAGCACTTTTCCAGTGGCGATGTTTATAAATTATGAACAGGTAAAACAAAAATTACATTTTTAGACCTGCGTTATTGTCGTAATTGCACTCAAAAGTGGGACTTCTGCTTGTAAAACAAGAGGGAGCCATATCCTTTTGCACGGACAGCGGCCTTCCTGAACGTCTTTAGTGATGTGTTTTAGTTTGTAGATCTGCTAGCTCATCACAGAGAGTACGTAGCTGTGCTGAAAGGCAATTGCTGGAGTGTATGGAACCAAAAGAACCAAGGCTTAATCCATATGTGGAGAAAACCATACAACATTGGATTAGATCAGACAGATGGAAAAGAAATGAGGCTGAATGTCGGATCTGAGTGTATAACATCAGATAATTGCTTTTCTGCGTTCTTTGATGAAGTGGAGCAGAAGCCACATCAGCATGAACTCCGCTTCTCTGGAAGTGAAATGCTGCCTCAGGGGAACGAGGTGGCTCCAGGAATTAGTAGCAGGATCTTCCAAGCTGTAAATCACTGCTGGAGAGCTGAACCGAGTTGCTGACAACTGCAATCAGAGGCAGTTTTCCGTGCCCAGTCCCTGTGTCTGCAGAGGCAGTGGCGTTGCCACCGTTAAGCTGGCACTCAGCTTGTAGGTGTAGGTAGCTGCGGAGGTTGTGGCAGTGGGAAACGGGACACGGTGTATATGGGAAACGTACTGAATGTTCTCCTGTGCGTTTTATGGAGTTTAACCGAGTTACTGCTTTTCACTGCGATTACGTTCTTTTCGGAAGGGGGAACACTTTTGTCTCATTCTCTACCTGAGGTGAATATGACGGACCGGTTTGGACAGATCATGATTGAGAACTTGCAGAGACGACAGTGTAACCTGGCTGGAGTGGAAGTCTGCAGGTCCTTAGACTCTCAGGTAAAGGGGCGCAGAGCTCCGGGCGTGTTTGATGTTCAACTGAACTGTGTTCTGCCTGTGTGTGTGCTGTAAGGTGCAGAGGGGTGAGCAAAGCAGGTTTGGGGTGGGGCAGCTTCTACCTCCTGAAGCCCTTTCCTATCCATGTTACCTCTTCCCTGTTAGCAATGCCACGGTCGTTCGGCATCGTTTAGTTTCGGTAGCTGTACAAAAACGGCAGTAGATCAGAGCACAGCTCCATCTAGCCCGCTGTCCTCTCTGTGCAGAGCAGCAGACGCTTAGAGAAGTGTACAAGAGCTCCTCAAAGAACGGGTCAAGCAGATGGCCTACAGAATCCTTAGAGGGGGAAAAACTGTTCTCTGGTATTTTATCTCGAGTCCTCTGAAAACTGTGCTGCTTGTTTATTTTACAGAGGGAACGGTTGCTGTTAAATGGCTGGGAAACTGCACATGCCATTGATATGATGAAAGTGTACAGCTTTTTGCCACAGGCTGATGTCAAAAGGTATTACTGATAGCTTGCTTACGGCCAAAAGTCAACTTCAGATGCCATTTCCAAGGTAGTTCACGTCAGTGCGTAGTGTGGGATCCCCTAGTAACACAGAGAGGAGCCTGCGTGCAGATGCTGGCTGGGTTGACAGAGCGTGTCAGAAGCTCTGCAGAGCCTTAAGGATAATGCTTGGAGCAACATTAATGGTCCCGAGGGTTATTGCTGCCAGGAGTAGGCTGGCAGTTGGGGATATTTTATTTGGGTACGCTGTACAGCATCTCATGACTGAAATTTGCAGACAAAAGGTGCTACAGGAATGCTGTGTTGAGTTTTTACAGTACCTAAGAGGTTTCTTGTGAACATGTGGCCTCCACAACCCTAGACGGGTGGAGTGCAGTCCTAAAAACACTCAGAAGCAGCCGCTTTCTGTGCCCCCAGGGGAGGTGACATCCAGGCGTTCGTTCCGGTCTTGTAGGCCTAGATAAGATGACTTACCCGTTTGCTTTTTCCTACAAGTGGGTTAAAAACAGCCAGTTGTGATGAAACAAGCCTCCCTTCTTGGCAGCTAGCTTAGGTAACGAGCCAAGGCAGGGCAGTAGTGCAGTGCTCTGACCTATCGTCCTGGGCAAGCAGAGGGAGGGCAGGTGTGCCCAGCGGCGTGGGGTGACCGTCTCGACGGACGCACGCCTCCTCCATTCAGACCCTCCATGAGCTGGACTGCGGGTCTGCAGCCAGAGCTTAGCACAGAGTAGAGCTAAAGGCTGCTATAGCAGTCAGCAATCTGCATGGATCTGCTTAGATGTTTGGTGTTAAAGAAGAGCTGAAAAGGGATGAATTGAATAAGTGAGTTCTTAGGTATATAATATGAAGTGTGAATTGCTGTGAGTTATTCATTAACTATGGTTTGAATCAGCTGAACAGGTTACTTGTTCAGAATAACTGCTCACAGATGGGGCTTTCTCACAGGGTGGAACTGAACAGGTGAGAGGGAAAATCACAGGTGGTTTAAATAGGAACGGTGTCTGTGTGATTGTACCATATGGCACTTGGGGAGAGATGTGGCTTGTACTTTTTTTGCGGCATTTTTGACTACTTTAGTTCTGTTTAGCTACTTCCACTTGTTCCAAATGCCAAGAAATAGGTTACGTGAACTGTGCCCTCCAGTATTAATGGGGCAAATAATGCTTTCTATTTATAAAAATCTTTACAAAAGGGCTCTTCTGCAGCACTTGCACACCTGGGAGTGTATTTAGGGACTGTTACCCCTCAGCCTCTTTTGATCCTCAGTAGCAGCCCTTCCACATACTTAGCACAGAAAATAAACACTGATATCCCAGTAATCTAGAGTGAGAGAGGAATGTGCCAGGTTAAACTCTCCGAAGCGAGCGCAGCTTGGGCAGAGTTCTCCGTTTTGTTTGGCGGGAGACATTCGAAGGTCTTCCTTCAAGACCCCCAGGTAGGAACCATTTTAGGGATAAAAGAGTCTTCAGATCTTGTTTGCACCATTTGGTTTGTGCTTCGTCATGAGCTCGTGTGGGAGAGTTGTTAGAAGCTGCACTGGTTTACCCATCCCTCTTCCCAGACGTAATATGGACTCGTGATTGTCTGGAGAAAATGCTCTTTCCCACTGTTGGCTGTAATCCTTCGGTAAGGAGAAACGTCCTCCCGTTAGGCTGTACTGTTGTGTCGGCTTAAATCCAGCAAGGTACGTGCAGGAAAAGGGTTAGAAGAGCAACACTGGTATTTGTGAGAAGTCGCATGGGTTAGTCCTGGAATGTGAAATTCCAGGAATGAGAAGTTGAAGACATCTTGTGGGGTCCTTTGTTTCCTGCGTTGACGGCAGTGGCTGGGAGTAGTGCCAGTGTCTTCGTTGTGGACAGATACCTGCACTCGTTTGCTAGAGAGGGAACTGCTGTGTTGGCCGTAGTTTCCACTCCCATGGAGTGCAGAACAGTACCTCTGCAACTGCACTGAGACTCCAGCCTGAATCCCCTTTTTATTTTATTCCTACAGAATAGAAGGACTTGAATTCCTAGATGAAAAGGAACTGTTTGAACAGCTAATGCAGCACTACTGCATCTCCTGGGCTTCGAAGGACAGCAGGGATCTGGGTAATGTTCTCCAGCATCTAGGAGGGGGACTTTCACATGGAAACGTGTGGAGAGGCTAGGGCTGTCTACACCAGGTGTATGTTCCTGTGTCAGGAACGGGCTCTGCCCCGTCGCTGGGACTGTGAACATCTCCCTGGTGGCATCTCGTGACTGTTTCTCTGCAGCCTTTTGGGGGTTTGTACTGGCATCTGAATTGCCCGAGAGGCAGCCTGTCCAGCGCAGGGAGTTAGAATTTGTGCACCGCAGGATGCCGTATGGGTTACTTTAAATAACTGCCTGCTTTATCCTATCAGTGCTAATTGAAAGGTTTGCAAACCCTGTGCATGTGAAGTGCCATATGGGCACAAGGTATATGAAATCACCGTGTCCTGACAACACAAAAATAAACGTGTGTTACTTAGACCAGTCGTCTGCTGCGCTGCCCTCATCGACATCCAGCTTAGGTGTAAGTTTTCCATGCTGCTTTCTCTGGGGGGGAAAGAAACACCCTCTGAAGTCAGCACTTTTAAACATCCCTTTTGTTTTAAACCCCAGTCTCTCCTAGGCTGGAATTTCTTCAAAACAGAGAGACTTGATTTATGCTTTAGGTAGCAATCATGTATGTTGCTGCTGCCTAAGAAATAATAAAATAAAAAGAACTGTGGTTTTTGGAGAAGAGCGGATGTTGACAGCCGTTATTTGTCCAAATTAGAAAGACAACTCTGTTGCAGACACAGTTTATCTCTGTCTGCAATTTCGGGGACTTTAGTCCTTCCAGGAGACCTCCCTGGCTGCCAGTTTGTATCTTTTTTCCTCCCCTTCTCCTCTGCCATTCCCTTGTTCCTGACAAAGCAGTATTCAGGAACCAGTTTTGCCTGCGGTGCCTTAGGAAATGTGAATAGATGGAATCTCCGCTGAAGCTGTGGTGTATCTCAGCCAGTCGGAGCAGCAAAGCATCTGATAGAGCTGATGAAGCCAGCTCTGCAGTGCCCTGTTGCTGCTGCTGTAGGAGATGCTGCCTGGTGTCTGCTGACCTGAATCCTACAGCTTCCACAGCTCTGAGCTGCGGGAATGCACGTTGTCCATTGATTTCTTACAGCTAAGAGGTGATGACTGTAATACAGAAGTTATTTCTAGAGGAGCTAAGACCAAACAGTTCACCTGTCCATGGTGGCCAGTATTCCTGGGATTTCCCGATGCAGCGTATCTTCGAAGTCCAAAAAGACAAATCCCAAAGCAGACCATCAGATGTCTAATGCATGATACGCCTTAACATACAGCAGTTTTTCTTTATCCAGAGTGAATTTACTGCTCTCGTTAATGGTACTTTCCCCAGCTTTTTAATTTCATGGGCAGATCCCCAGTTCATCAGCAGCCTCTGTGTTCCTTCTGCCGTGAATAACTTCAGTACTCCTTCAGATTGGTTTATTCAAATTAATTGCTGTATCCCAATCAAAAAAGAGTTTAAAAAACTACAGGTTAATGTTTCTTAATTTCCTTTCCTGTCACTAAATCCTTTACATTTAAGTTTAAAAAGAATTAAAATTCTCAAAGGGTCCCTCTTGCCGCGTCTGTCCAACTGTCCTAATAGTAGCGACGTACAGGTAGTTTGAGAATACACACTCGTTTCTCCCCCGACCCCCTTTCTTTTCAAATAGGTCTGGCAACCATCGCATTCTGATGCGTTTACCGGAGGGAGGCCGTGGGCCCAGAAGCCACAGTGACTGCCTTCTGCGTGAGACAGGATCATGGGAGTGATGGGACTTTGCACGTGCCGGCCTCGGTCTGTGCGTCTGCCTGCGTGGCGCCGGTGCAGGGCGCCGGGTGTTGCTGCCGCCGACTGTCCTGTTGGCTTTGGGTGGTTCTGACGACCCTCTTTTGCCCGTTGTCAGCGATTATGAGGCAGGACTCGCTTCCCATCCCCAGATACATAATGAGAGACTGTGATAAGGTGTCGGTAATTCCTGTTTAAAAGCTTGCCTTCCTTGGTTTAAAACAGAGTAAAGTGTTCCTGGATTGTATGATTTTCCTCTCTTGTCTTTTTGTGGGTGTGTAAAGTGTATTTGTGACAGGAAGCTGGGAGAGCAATGAGGTGAGCTGCATTATTGGATGTCTGCACTGTGTACGGCTGAGGGATAAATTCTGTTAGTTTTCATCCTTTTGGGGTTTAATTTTTATGAAGTGTCACCGTGTTAACTTTCTCCAGGCTTTACTGTGGCTACAGGGTGTGTCACTGTGCTAGGTATGTCCGGGGGGGTGGGGGAAGGAGGAGGGCTGTGGTTCTTGTTCAGCGATGCACAAGAACCGGAATGATGTTGAGGTGGGATTTATTTCACAGGGAGGGGCTTAGCTTGGCAGTTCAGCACTGGGGTGGTGACCTAGGAAAGAAATGGATTGAAATTTGCACTGGTTCTGGTACTATCTATGCACCAGTTTCTCATTCTTTCTTTCCCCTTAAAGGAAACAAAATCCCAACAGCAGCAAAAGACCTTGCCTTGTTGTTTGAAATTGAATCTTGCAACCTTCCTATGGGAAAAAATAAATGTTTAGTATTTCTAATTTGACTAGTGTTTTACTCATTAGAAATTGCCTCTTTACATCTGCCTCAGTGACTACGTTTTCCCTCTCTCACAATGAGTATTTTTTAAAGCAGTTGCAAGCAGAAGCAACCATTTTTGCACTGTATGTGACTTTCTGTAGTGGAAGCATACCTGGCTTTGGAAATAGTTGATATGGGCTTGGACTGGAGATGTAGGGGAAGGAAATAATATGATGCCAGAATAATTAAATGGTTCTTAGAAGTGACAGTCCTCATTTCAGAGGAGCAGAAGTGGTAAAAAGAAATGGCCTTCCCTTTGCTGCCTTCCTCTCTCTCTTGTTTTAGTCCCTGGTAGCCACAGGCCACCTGCTATTATCGTAGAATCATAGAATGGTTTGGGTTGGAAGGGACCTTAAAGATCATCCAGTTCCAACCCCCCTGCCATGGGCAGGGACACCTTCCACTAGACCAGGTTGCTCCAAGCCTCATCCAGCCTGGCCTTGGACACTTCCAGGGATGGGGCATCCACAGCTTCTCTGGGCAACCTGTCCCAGTGCCTCCCCACCCTCTCCGGGAAGAATTCCTTACTGATATCTAATCTAAATCTACCCTTTTCTCTTTAAAGCCACTGCCCCTTGTCCTATTGTGTTTGGCTCAAGCTGATTTCTTGGAAGACAAGGCACAGAAATAAAATATTTGGTTAGTGCTCTGCTCACTCTTTGCGAAGTGTTCGCGTAGCTCCCTGCCCCCGAAGGGAAGGGGTGGACTCTGGGCAGTTACGAAAGGAGCTTATAACCTTTGCTTCCTAGATAACCGTGTCAGTGGTGTGCTTACAGCCGCGTGCTTTGGTGTTGGGGCTCGCGTACCCCCATCTGTTCCGAGGCGAGTGCCAGCCGCCTCTGCGATCGCCCTTTCTCTGCAGAGGCGGGAGCCCAGGAGGGCACGTCTGGTTTTTCACTTGACTAAATTATCAATTTAATTTTGGCAAGACCCCCTTGGAGAGCATATTCCTTGAGCCTCTTGGAAAATATGAGTGGGAGCCAAGCTGAAGTCTTACCTGTGCTGGAAAACCCAAATCTGTTCCCTTTTGAACTGGCTGACGCCTGAGATGCGAGCCCCGAGTTGTTGCGTCTTTCACCTGAGCGGGCTCGGAACGCGGCGCGCTGCAGGGTGCCCTGTGCTCCAGCAGTCAGTGCGTTTTGTCGTCTTATTTGTCCCAGCTTAATCCTCTGCATTGGGGAATGTGCTAGCGTGAGGCAGATGCTGGTGGAATTTCAGCTCACCAACTTCTATTTTAGGTCCCTGTATGATTTGTTCAGCCGAGGGAAGCGCTGGAGGATGCGGTGCAGGAGCAGAGCTGGTGCAGGGGGTGGAAGGCTGCTGCCCTGCTCCCTCTTCCCCCAGACAAGTCTGACTTCCCATCTCACAGCTGCCGAGCCGAGCGTTTCAGCGTCCAGCTAGGAGAAGGGCAATCATTCCTGCAGGAGCTCTCCAGGAGTCTCGGTTGCCAGCAATGGTGTAGAAATGGGGTCACCTTGTGCCTCGGGGTTACAAGAGGATCAAAGGAATTTGTGGTACCTGGGAGCTGGTGGGGAAGGGCGGGTGTGGGCGGGCTGGCTCTCATGATTACGCTAACCAAAAGAAATAAATCATTCCCCTCTCTTCAGGGAATATTTGGGTTTGGAGAGTGCCTGGTGCTGCTGAAACAACGCCTGGCTGGAAAGCCGCCCGCTGAAAAAGGCTGAGAAACGTTTTCCAGGCAGGAGAGGTGACGGCGTTTCCCTTCTGCGGCTCCTCGCCGTGCTTGTGCGACTGCAGGTCAGCAGCGGCTCCCCCGAGCTGCGCCCCGAGCCCCCGCCCCGCTTTTCTGCTCCCAGCACAGCCTCTTGCCCCTGGGTTATTGGTACCGACAGCACAACGAAATTCATCCCTAAAATGGTTTGTTTAAAGGGGAAAAAAAAAAACCCACCCAATTATTTAAGCTGGGGTGAACTGCAAGGTGTTCCCTTTGCAACCTCCTGCCCCGCTGGCAGCTTCCCTGATGCCGGGTTTTTCCAGTTGGTGTCTTGCGGTGGGGACGCTGCCCACGGCTCTCGGTGCCGGCTGAAGAGGCTGAGAGCTGCACCTGCCTGGTACCTGCCCGCGATAGGGCACCTCGCTGTCGTCTTTGCCACTGGGATATCTCCTCCCGGGCCCAGATTTAGCTCTGGGCTCCACGTCACGGCCACACTTGTGTCCTTTTGTTGAAAATCACTTAAAAGTACTTGAAATAGTTTCCCGTTTCCTACTGAATACAGCTTCTCCCTGAAAATGGAGTAACAGCAGGGGACTTGATGTCATCAACTGGAAGAGCTCTCATGCGAGGAGCCTGTCGTGTTCCTCCCCACGCTGCTAGTGGGCTGTGGAGCCCCTCGAGTTGCATCTCCCTGTCCTCCTGCCCAGCTCAGACTGCAGGGAGGGCAGTCGGGGTGTCCCTCCCTGT